TACACCCATCGTATTTCATCCTTGGAGAACTTTGTGGCAGCAGTTATGTCTTCCAAGTTGTCAGGGTGATACCTCACTGTTGGACTTGCCAGGCCATCCTCATCCTCCTCATCTGCATCTGGTCAACAGAGTAATGCCACATTGATGTAAGATACACTACAAAAACATTGTATTCTTCTGTGAGAGATTGGCCAATCTCTGTTTTCAATATAAAGTGTGGGTAAAATACACAATATAAAACCTCATTTCCCTAGTGCCAGTCTCATGTTCACATAGTACACCCATTTTAAGATGAATATTTTGTAAATGTTTTTGATAAACGTTTAACGGAGAAAGGAAAGAAAGATGCCTAACCCTGTGTAGAATGATGTATGTTCGACAGTGATATGTAAAATCATGCATACAAACAAAAATGTTTACACATTACACTTTGTGCCAAACATGTTTCGACCTCAAGAAGAGGATGAAACGCATTTGGCATAAAGCATTATTTAATGTGTAAACAGTTTTGTTTGTATGCATGATTTTACTTATCAATACACTGCATGGTATGCAAGGTTTTTAAAGATTCTTTCAGTAGTGAGGTTTACATTTTAACAGTAGAATTGAAGGAGGATGTGGTGGGTGGGGCATGTAACTTGGGAAAGTTGAAAAATGCATACAGTATCCTAATCTTAAAACCTGATGGGAAGAAACCACTTGAGATATCTATGCATGGATAAGCAAATAATACTAAAATTTAGCTCATGTATACTCAATTCATCTTTCTCAAAACAGAGTCCAGTAGCAAGCTGTGAACACTGTAATGAACTTTTGTGTTCCATAGAAGATATAGATTTTTTTGATTAGCTGAGCAACTGTTTTCTTCTCAAGGACTGTGGTATATGGAGTAAGGTAGAATTATATATCTGTTGAATGTACGATCAAACCAGTCAGGTACAGTATACAAAGCAGCAAATGTATTCAGAGAATATGCATTTTATTTGAGTACTTCTTTTCGCTTGTGTTAGGTTAAGGTACTTTGTTTGGTACTTGTGAACAACCATTGTACTTTAATCACATTTAAACATAATAAAGATCCATATTTAGTTTAAATGATGTATCAGGTAGTTATATCATCAATTGCCAAGGAATTGTCCAGTTCTTTACCAGTTGTGCCCTCACTGGTTCAATATCTCTTCAACAGACATCATTAGTATCTTGTGAATAAGTATTCTTAAAGAGTGCTTCTCAGAAGTACAAGGTTGTTGAAGGTTCCAATTACAAATCACTTTAGTCTATATTTTGATCTGAGTATCAAAATGAAAATTGTTTTTCTAATAAGATAAAAACTGAAAACTGTTTGTCTTCAGATAACCAATTTATCCTGCAATTTTTTTCACAAGGGAAAATACAGAATTTGTGGATTTTATAGTGTGAACTTGATTATGTAGCATTCAAGTGGCAGTTGTTATGCATTTCTGGGTTATGTTCATCCTGGGTGAAAATTCACTTTCTTAGGTTTAAAATAATTATTTAACAAATTATTTGTTTTTAAAATTTTGTATGTCTGTGTCACTTTAATCTTATGTTAGGATTCATCTGATTGTGCACTGAAAACATGATTCCTGAACTTTCTTTATTTAATTTGTGGGAGAATTTAATTAATGCATACATACATAGGTAACAATGCATACACACACACACACAATTACATTCCTCGGATCCGTAAGTTAATCAGATGCCAATAGGATGCGGTATAAGTCATGAAAATGCAATATGCATGTATAAGTGCAATTCCAACATTTATAAACTTTTCACATAGAACAAATGAGGATTTTACATAAAGTAATGAACTGTTTCAAATAAATCCAGACATATACAGCAAATAAATTATACTACCCATTTATACCATAGAAAGGCAAGAAAACCTTTAAAAACATTATGAGCCATTTTCAAACAACAGAAATTCAACAGTATAAACCGACATTTTATTCATGAGACCCGATAATAGACTGTTAGAAATTTTGATGCCAGCATAGATTGCACTTTTCTGAAAGCATGAGAGATTGGCAGTTGGTCTATGAAGCTGATTCTTGTTCCTTGTGTTAACACTGTGTACAGCAGAATTTGCCTGAAAATGTTCGTGATTATTCACAATGAAGTTCATTACTGAGAATATGTATTCACATGGAAGGTGTAAGATCTCTGATCTCTTGAATAGACTTCTACATGAATTTCTAGGTTTGTAAAGTGAACATCTTTTTGCTGTTAGGTGAATTACTCCAAAAAATTATTCCATACTTCATTATAGAGTGAAAATAGGCAAAATAAACTGATTTGATATTGTCGGTGTTGCTGGCATGGAACATGGATCTAACTGCATAACATGTTCCACTTAACTTCTTAATCATTTGATCAATATGATTTTTCCAGTTTATATGATTATAAATTTGTGAACCAAGAAGTTTCATATTTACTGTCTCTTCTACATGTTTTCTATCACAACGAATATTTAATGCATATTGTAGTAAATGATTTATCATAAATTTTGTTACGTTTATTTTATCTAGATCTAGGGTCAGCTTGTTAGCAGTGAATCAATTACTCCTGTGAGAGAGAACTATGTTTGACATTGTACAAAAATCATCTAAATTTGACTAGCAATTAAGACACTTGTGTCATCAACAAATATGGGTTTTGATAAGTTATTTATTTTTGGAGGAAGCTCATTGAAGTATATTATGAAAAGCCCTGGAACTGACCCTTGGCAAACTCCATTTATTGTTCTCCAGTTTGAGAAAAAATTCTGAGTCTCATTAGGATATTCTATTTTAATCTTTCATTTTCTGTCTCTTAAATAGGATCTGAACCATTTTGTGGCTGTTGTTTGAATGCCATAAAAATGTAATTTAGTTAACTAAATTTCATGATGTACACAGTCAAATGCTTTCGCTAAATTACATAATATGTATTCGTAATGCATTTTTAGTTAATATATTTAATACATTTTCTGTTAGTTTGAATACTGCATTTTCAGTGGATATGCCTTTCCTGAAACAATATTGTTGTGGGACCAGTATGTTGTTAGTATGCATATGATGGACTAACCTATTGTACATAACCTTCTGAAGTACTTTTAAAAAAGTACTTAGTGAAATTGGCCTGTAGTTTATCATACTAGTTTTGTCACCTTTTTTTGTAGTGGTTTTACTACTGAGATTTTAATATGGTCAAGTTAAATGCCTGTGTATAGTGAGTGATAACAAATGTGGGGTAATGGGCGACCAATTAAACCACCCTCCCTCCGCAATCATGGAGGCCTTCCTCTAAAGCAGAGGTTCTCAACATTTTTCGCTGGCGTACCACTAATAATAATTTAACACATTAAATGTACCACCAACCAAATGCGTTTAGGGAAAACTTATTTATGTTAATATTACCTTTTGATTTTCTTACTTACCCATCCAAGCAAAATTCTTTTCACAATGGACAAGTTGCGTGACGGGATAACCTCCAGCAGCAATAGCTCCTAGTTTGAGTAGTTAGGCATTCCGCCACGACAAGTCCCGTCAGTGCAAGCACACTTCCGTTTTAGTTTAAGGCACTGTTTACTATTTCCAGCAATGCGTTTCGTACCCAAGAATGATGTTACGTAGCAAGGGACGATGTCTGTGAGCGTAGGTTTTCTGTACACAGTGTGTCCGAGTGAATCATTTGGTTTACTGCTGACTTGGATGTCTAAAAACGGAACGACCTGTCTTTTTCCATCTCCATCGTGGACTTAATGTTTGGGTGGATGCTGTTCAGGTGTTGCAGGAAATTCTGGAGCTCTTTCTTTCCGCGGGGCCATAATTACGAAACTGTTATCCGCGTGTCTGTACCAGTGGGCTTGCTTGTTCACCGCGGAACCTAATGCTCGTTTTTCAAAATATTCCAAAAAGAAATTGGCTACTATAGGAGCACATCAGAACTCTGATGATGGGGACAGAGAGGGTTCTAACATCGTGTTAAGTACTAGTTATTGTTGTTTGTGTGTGTTAATATGGTTTGATATACTGTTAAACAGTGTATTTTTCTGTATGAATCGTTTGTGAAATGTGGTTCCGCTGGTAAGTGTCGGAGAAAATAGAAAATGTCGTAAATTTCCTGGGATCATAGTTCCAAGTACAACATGCATCCATTTACTTCAGAAAGTCAGGCTTGCGGGGTCATTTCTGGAGAAGAAACACGCTGAAAACGCCGTATCCTTATCGAAGATAAACTAGACGAAATTGGGGCTAAGTTAGAACCTATTTAAATGGCATAGAGAGCGTGTGCGTGTACAGGGACATAATTTTCAACACTTATTATAATATTGGTAGATTTATTTTATTGGTTTTGTGGAGTGGTACTTGGCTCGTATCGGGAAAAGCTTTGTAGTGCTTAGTTCTTTCATGAAGATGAAAGGTACATGCCACGCTTAAAAATCCCGCCATTGGATACTATCTTGAACCAGCTGAATCAAGATTACTTTTAATATTATCATTCCATCGACTCTTGGAGCTCCTAAGTGCTGTCTCCTTTTTAATTTTGCCGATGAAAATTTTGTACGTTTTTATCTCCCTTTTTCTCACTAGCGCAATCGTTTTTTATTTTATTTCCTAAATATTGTGTGAAGAATTACGGACTTTCTCGTTATAAATTTTGTCACCTTGTTACTTCCTCATTCTAGGTACAAATGTTTTTATCTTTAATCCTCGATTGTCTCTTTCAGCAGGGCTAGAGGCCGCGTATCACGGCCCTTTCAAAAGGACAGACAAAATTATAATTTTATACAGGCGTATTTTATATACAGAACATCTGATGATTGAAAGCTTTGAAACGGACGGTATCGTTTCGAA